CCATCTGTGCCGAAGCGGACGCTACTTGCTGTTCATCAAATATTCTCGGTGTGGTGTCGTCGAGCCATAATCTGTGGATTTCAGTCACCTTGGATTGGATTTTCGAGTATACATTCTATCACCAAAAGTCAGTCAATGATGTTAATCACTTTGAAGCACCCTCCCAGGTAGTAAAGAGAACTTACATAAAACGGATTCTGTTTGAGATTCACGTATTTCAATCCAGCACCCATACTAGGCCAATAGCTTTGATAGACTTTGAGCAACGCAATCAGTTGTGGTTCAGGTTGTCCCTTTTCAAGCAGCTTCAACCTACAAAAGTACTATGAGTAACTGATCCGATGATCCTACAGCACCATTTATCACAAATCAACTTACAGAAACCGGACACGATAGGGCTTGACATGTACCTTCTTGGTCATAAGGAATAGAAGATGACAGATCTGAGGCCTATAGGTAGTGTAGATCGGTCAGTTAGCTGGCGCCCCCACTATGACTTGTCTTCTTCCGCCTTGTTTACCTGAGTCGTTCCAGTGTTAGATAATGAAACAATAGACCATATAGCTTGGTGATATGTTCTTCTCCATCAATAAGATTGTAGACGCATGCTACCCATTGTAACAGAGATTGCTACAGAGCAAAAGTACCAACCGATACAAAAGTTAATATTGATAGTTGTACGTGGTCCATATCGTCCGTTCTTACCAAAATATCTGCGGGATAGTCACGTTGCGATAGGTGTCCAATGATTCTAATGACTTCCTTTTGAGACACGGCGGTTCTGGGTAAGAGGAATGATAAAAGCTTTGTGGTGGATCGAGGAGCTAACAAAATAGAAGGGGTAAGTAATCGTGTTGCGTTAGTGTGGGGCGCAGAGGAGAGGTTAAGTAACTGATTCTTATTCTTATGTTCTTACATAGAGCTTGACAAAGGATAAGATCAAGAATGATACAAAAGTGATCCGACTTGACACCGTACTTTTCAATGAAGGGGGCAATTCTGTTAATGAGATTGGTTTGGCCTTTCACTTTCCGTCGAAAGTTATCTATAAAGAAAAGTCAATAAGTTACCAATGGCAGTTCTCTTTGCTTGTTTTCAATCCACTCACCTCCACAAAGTCTTTTGAGAGCATAGTCAATGTATTGATCAACGTTGTGTTGAGTGATGGGTGAGTCTGATTGAGTTGCTGCTTCGTATTCAGTGTCGTTTGCAAAGGTATGAGCATCGAGGATGAATGGCGTCTCCACTAAAGAGTGAGCAGCGTATTAGTTACATGTCTAGTCCTTTTCACTGTTTTATACTTTACCGTGGTCGATATCAACACTGGCGCCAACATTGGATGCAAAAGACATGGTGAGCAGGAACGGAAAGAGAAGCGAAAATCGAAAAACTGCGAAATCCGCGAACTCATAGAAAAAAAAATTGGTCAGGCAAATGTTCAAACTCCGTCTCTCGACACTTTCGCAGCGCCAGAGGGATCCTCATTCATACCCATTACGATAGCATGATGACATTCTATTCGTCTCAAGTAGAACCAGGACAAGAAATTGCTTCATGTGTCGTATTTGTACTCTTCGCAGATTGTCTCAATAAAAACTTTTACAGGCCCAAAGGTCACATCACGTGACTTTTTTTAAACTCCGATGTTACGCTTTATATAGCACTTTGTAAATTAAAAGTCGTAGAACCCCTTTATAGCTCAGTTGGTAGAGCGGAGGACTGTAATGATATTGTCATCCTTAGGTCACTTGTTCGAATCAGGTTGAAGGGACTTCTCTTTTGCTAAAATTATGTTTGAAGCGGAGTTTATCGGGGTTGTCGAGCTTTGTTTGATACAGTTGCGGCTATTTTGGGTTTGGAATGGGTAACTGGAGAGTGCAGAAGTGGTTACGGTACGTTTGGTAAGTGAGCACCGGAACTTTTGTGGGTTAAGCTCAATCTTTTGCAAAGTAAATGGAGAAAAAAGAAAAGAGAGACATGAGAAACCCCGTGGTTCAAAAAAAGGTACGAGCCTCAAAATAAAGTCTTGATCTGCTTGTAGCAATCAAAAAGTGTGTCTCCAAAAAGTGTTGCTATGCTTTAACCATAGAAACCAAGTGGTAATAGACGCTGATCTTCTTGATTCAGCGATAAAAATGCATGCATGGTATGATTCCAATAACAAGAAAAGATGAAAAAAGTACTTTGACTTTCAGTGAGTGAGCTTGATAAGAGAAACGAAAGAAAGGGAAAGGAGGAATGGTTTTTATGCTAAATCCTATTCCCATGGCAGTAGCCACGAAGAAAGAGAGGACGACAACAAGAAACAGAAGAAGTCAACAAGAGGCAGAAGCCAACCAAAAAAGGAAAACTCTAAAATCCTGAATAGGAAGATGGCCCTATTGCCGCCAAAGGCAGAATTTCATTATCCGCTTCCAAGGTGGGCTCCGCATCATTTGTAATAGGTAACTTGAGTGTGCAAAAGTGTCAAGGATTATGTTTTTGAAGTGAGCGTTGAAACTCTTATAGGTTAACATCGGGGAATCTTAAACGCAAGGGCATTGGGGCAAGGGCAAGATGAAGGACTTTGTGCATGAGGTGAGTTGCAGCCGATTTTGGATTTACAACTCCGCTCCCGGCTAAAACTACAAAGGACTCTTTTTCCGTTAATCTTTTTTTTTTTGCTCCTTCTTTGCTTCTTCATCACTTTTTTCTTTCCATCGACACTGGCACCGCGCCACAAGCGACTCATCTCTATACAACGATCTTAAACGACGAATGCAGGGTAACTCTCTCCTTCTCACCAGCTTGTCCATCTATGTCTTACCATGACTAACAGTTGTCACTTGCACATTGCTCCTACTTTTACGTTGTAGATTGTATAGTCATTGCACTGCTTAGCATTACTACTCGTCAGCCTACTCCCCTTTGGGCACTACCACTACTACTTTAGCGTTGCTGGCCAGCTCATACTTTTCTTCATTCCATAGGTCATTGAACTAGAATAGTTACTTCATGGCAAGCCCTATATGCAGCTTAACCTTAGTCTCATAGATTACTATTACAGAATATGGATTGACTTTTTAGATTGACATAATAAAAACGAGGGGAATTATCAGTGCAGGGGCAAAGTTAAAGACGGCGTTTGAATAGGATTGCGCAGGGAAAAGTCAGTGTTAGGGTTAAGAAAGCAGGCCGAAGTCTGCTTCAAACAAAGGGCCATGCCTCTGAAAAACTTTTCGTTTCTCTTTTTTACTCCCAAACTAAGTGGACAGCCTGCGTTTCAAATTTGACAAGGGTATGGACGCACCTCGTATCTATTGCATGATACCAAGAACGCATTGTTTCCTTGGACGAGTTCCTTTTTTTGGTACCTGCCACTCCAATCGGTCACTTTTTTGAGGCTTATTGTAGCGTTCATGGACCCATTTGACATCCAAATGCATGTTTCTTGGTATCATGCAATAGATACAAGGCACGTCCATACTCTTGTCAAATTTGAACGCAGGTTGTCCATCTCAGTTTTGAGAAATAAAGCATTTTGTACAAAAAAAAGCGTTGAGCCATGCCTGTGAAAAACTTTTTATTTCTCTGTTTTCTGCCAAACTGAATGGGCAACCTGTGTTCAAATTTGACAAGGATATGGACGTACTTCGTATCTATTGCATGATACCAAGAACGCATTGTTTCCTTGGACGAGTTCCTTTTTTTGGTACGTGCCACTCCAATCAGTCACTCTTTTGAGGCTTATCGTAGCGTTCAAGAACCCATTCGACATCCAAATGCATGTTTCTTGTTATCATGCAATAGACACGACGTACGTCCATATTGTAGTCAAATTTGAGCTCAGGTTGTCCATCTCAGTTCTGAGAAATAAAGCATTCTTCACAAAAAAAAGGGTTGAGCCATGCCTATGAAAAACTTTTCGTTTCTCTTTTTTACTCCCAAACCAAGTGGACAACCTGCGTTTCAAATTTGACAAGGGTATGAACGTACCTCGTATCTATTGCATGATACCAAGAACACTTTGTTTCCATGGACGAGTTCCTTTTTTTGGTACCTGCCACTCCAATCGGTCACTTTTTTGAGGCTTATTGTAGCGTTCATGGACCCATTTGACATCCAAATGCATGTTTTTTGGTATCATGCAATAGATACAAGGCACGTCCATATTCTTGTCAAATTTGAACGCAGGTTGTCCATCTCAGTTTTGAGAAATAAAGCATTTTGTACAAAAAAAAGCGTTGAGCCATGCCTGTGCAAAACTTTTTATTTCTCTGTTTTCTGCCAAACTGAATGGGCAACCTGTGTTCAAATTTGACAAGGATATGGACGTACTTCGTATCTATTGCATGATACCAGTAATGCCTGGTTTCCTTGGAAAAAGTCTTACATTTTTGGAGCTCATTTTTCTTGTGAACGGAATAGACAACACAACTTCAAATTTAACATAGACTCAGAAGTGCTTTTTATCTATCGACTGATACCAAGAAAGCCTGATTTCCTTGGATGACTTGCCATTTTTGATACCACTCCAATTGGTCGCTTTTTGGGGCCTTCTCGGAGCGTTCACGGCCACATACAACATAAAAGTGCTAATTTTTGGGTATCAGTCAATAGATATGCATTGCATCGTATTGCCTGCAAAATTTGACGGCGGGTTGTCCATCTCGGTTCTGAGAAATAGGCAACTCTTTACAAAAAAAAAAAAAAGGCGGTCAATCAAGATCTATACGAAACTCGTACCTTTTTTTAAACGCCGACTTTTTTTTCAAGTGCCTCTTTTTTTCTTTTTCTCTCTATTAACATTAGAAAACATACAAAAACACAGCCCAGCTACTTATAACTACTCAAAAATAGCCGTAACACTTTTTACCCTCAAAAGTTCTGGTGCTCACTACAAAAACATAACAACAAAGACTTTGCATACTACAGTTACACTTACCAACCAGATTGGCCATGACAAAGCTATAACAACTCAACAAAACTCCGCTCAAAACAGTATTTTGCTAAAAGATGAGTCCCTTCAACCTGATTCGAACAAGTGACCTAAGGATGACAGTGTCGTTACGACGTTTCATTACAGTCCTCCGCTCTACCAACTGAGCTATAAAGGGATTCCACGAATCTGGCATCTTAAAATTGTATATAAAGACTAACGTCGGAGTTTCAAAATTGTGCCCGTCACGCCTGATAAACAATGTTAAGAACCCAAGTCTTCTCTACCCTACTCTTCTTCTTCGCATCTATTTTTGACAATGCCCAAATCATCACGGAAGTCTACACCACGCAAGTCAGCTCCAAGGGAATCACCTACGCCTGATTATGCTTCGCCTGAATATGTGATGTCTGAACGAGAACTCGCACCATTGTCGCTCGGTTATCACCATTCATCAGCTGAAGCACCAAAACTTGAAGAACTATCGCCCGTTGCACCAACCTTTCCCGCCAACCTGCAAGAAAACGAACCAACTGCAACTGATTCATCTACCGGAAACAACGCCCCAGCATCAGAAGCCGCCCCAGCATCACCATCATTATCGTCATCATCATCATCTCCAACACCAGTTGACGGCAACAAATGCTCACGATGTCGCCACTACAAGGATAAATCGATGTTTATGGGACGCACTCGCTCTTATAGGACATGTAGCGACTGTCGATTTGCACAAACCGTACCCAAACGACCTCCTACTGATATGATACCACACCTGTTTGATTTGAAAATACCAGCAACTGAAGTAGCCATCGACAGCGACGTAAGCTCAACAGACACCACCACCGGCACCGGCGCTTACAATACGAGAAGGGAATCCCGAAACAAACAGGCGACAACACTGACTTTCGACATTGTGATGGACGACGAACTATTGCAGCAGGCGGACGAAGACGTGGTAGAAGCCATCCTCGATGTGGTGAAGCGGCGCTCTGGCTATCGATACTCTGTACAGAATCTCACCAAGCCTCTCCTTTCGACGACGGTCAACTTTTATGGAAAATGCGTCCAACGATCTGACTTGCGCCGTCCTCTGCTGGCTGACGAACGTAAGCGCCAAACGAAGATACTGCCGACATACAACTGTAAAGGGAAGATTGCTGGATCGATCGACAGGGTTCAGCGCTGGATCCGACTCTCTTTGACCCACCTCAGCCATCATCCTTCCACACACCCAACCCGAAAACTGATGCCCGAAGAAGCCAAGGCGTACATCAAGGAAATGGCCGATTCAGAAAAATCGAACTCCGAACTATATAAAGAAGTGGTCGACAGCTTTGGCTCTGGTATCACTCGTGCTCAGGTATACTTTTGGAGACGGGAAGCACGACGGACTCTTTGATCTGCTCACTCTTACCACACAACTTCGCAATCGCAACAACGTATGTAAGCATATAGATTTTATTGATGCTTAGATGCCAATCACACAACCATTCTTTTCTTCCTCTTTTATAGTCCTTTATGAATCTATCAACAAAGCTCCGACAATCCATGCACACGACCTATGTTTTGAATATACTGTAGTAGCTTCTGTCCATAGTTTAGATATGTTTTTCGATCGGTTAATAAACTCCTATCAGACCCCCGTGTCATCCCTCCTCACAGCACTCTTTCTTCAAATGTATGTAGGGACAGTAGTAAAGATCTAGTGATGATTCAATAATGGGATCCAATCATAGTATGTCTTGGTTGGTTTGACTGTGGTGTCATCTTGATGACTTTAAATGGGTTTAGATTAACAAGTGCGGCATTTTGTGAAGTTCATGCACGTAACACGGATTTTTAAAACGACCACATTATTTGACCTCCGACCATAACTTGAGGTAAGATTCCCCCGATTTGATTCTTTACTCCTTCTTCCATCCTTCAACCCTTCAGCCCTTTTACCGTTTCATCGACCAGGTATCGTCCTCAGATTGACATTTATTACTGAACGTTATCATGCAATAGATACAAAGCACGACCATATTCTTGTCAAATTTGAACGCAGGTTGTCCATTCATTTCGGGAGAAAAAAGAGACACAAAACATTTACAAAAGGGATGGCGCAACCCTATTTTTTTCGTAAAGAATGACTTATTTCTCAGAACTGAGATAGACAACCTGCGTTCAAATTTGACAAGGACTTGGGCATACTTTGTATCTATTGCATGATACTAAGAAACGTGCATTTGGACGTCGAATGGGTCCATGGACGCTACAAAAAGCCATAAAAAAGCGACCGATTGGAGTGGCACGTACTAAAGAAGTGAACTCATCCAAGGAAACCAGGCGTTCTTGGTATCATGCAATAAATGCAAAGCACGTCCATATTCGTGTCAAATTTGAACAAAGGTTGTCCATTCAGTTTGGGAGAAAAAAGAGACACAAAACTTTTTCCAAAGGGCTGGCTCAACCCCCCCCTTTTTTTTTTGTAAAGAATGATTTATTTCTCAGAACTGAGATGGGTAACCTGCGTTCAAAGTTGACAAGAATATGGACGTGCTTTGTATCTATTGCATGATACCAAGAAACATGCATTTGGATGTCGAATGGGTTCATGAACGCCACAATAAGCCTTGAAAAAGCGACCGATTGGAGTGGTACGTACCGCTTACAGACATCTGCATAGATTGGGTAGACTGGCGGATGTGGGACATGAGATCTCTGTCTATACTTGATCACGATGATATGGCTTGCTTGGAGGTGGAGAGCAATTGTATTATTTTTGTAGTAGGATAAGCTTGTCAAAGGAAGATATAACATGGTACCAGAGGAAGTGTGGAAGTGGATCGGATGTGAGAATGTGTCTGCTGCCAGTTGACAACAGTCGTGTGTAGTCGTGTGTATAAAACCAATGTTGAGTGGAAACTGAGCCACGTTTAGGGAGCAGTTTAGCCATCTTTTTTATATCTTCGCCTATAAACACTCCGTACTTCAGGTACCATTCTTTTTGGGCGTTCAGTTCTGTCCATAAGCCTATTTTGAAGTTCCGTCTTTTTTGGGGCTTGACAGAACCAACCTGCGTATCCTGCATTTTGCTGACAACAAGGACTTACATAGCGGGGATCCTCTGAGTCCCTGACTTCAGTCCCGATCATAGATGGGATTCTACTAGAAAGAAAGATAAAACCGCCCCTGCCCACACACTTCTTCAACAATGCCATGCACTCCAGATTTCAACCCCCGATCGGCTATAAGATTATTTTTTTGCCCGCCCTATTATTCTGCTCCTTCTTCCCCTCGTCAATACTTTTTTGCCTCCATTGTCATTCTCTTTACTCCACGACGTCAAACGAACGAACGGACGAGCGAACGAACGAACGAACGGTAACTCTCCTCTTCTCACGTCATGTTCATCTTTTGCTTACCATTACTAACTTTTTGCCTTTTGCATCGTTCCTCTTTCTT